AATCATTCAACTTCTACCTATTTATCATGTGAAGGAGGAGGAAAATCCTTACCATCATCTTAAGACATTCTTTACCATATGCTCCACATTCAACTACGGTGGTGTTAGTGAAGAGCAAATTCGACTACGATTGTTCCCATTTTCTCTAAGGGATAAAACAACAAACTAGTCAGACTCTCTTTTAGAAGCATCCACAAATTCTTGGACTGATTTATCTAAGAAATTTCTTTCAAAATTTTTCCCTGCTCATAAAAGCAATGCTTTGATAATAAATATTATGAGTTTTCATCCACAAAAGGGTGAATAATTTCATGAATGTGGGGAGCGATATAAGGATTTGTTCCTTCAATGCTCTTATCATGGCTTCGATACCTAGAAAAAGTCCACTACTTTTATATAGGGTTGAACCCTTGAAGCAGGAGCATGGTAGATTCAACAGTCGACGAAAGCTTAATGGACAAGACGACAGATAAAGCCATAAATTCATTTGAGACAATTTGTGAAAACTATAAGCATTGGGACTTTCCAACAAAACATCAAGGAGTCACACCTACATCATTGACAAGGAAATGAGGCATTTATGAAGTTAGTGCAAGCACGGGTCTGAGAGCACAAGTTGCAGCTCTCATACGCCATTTGTGAACAAATAGCAACATGTCCTTGTACTTTGCGTGCTAGTGTGGACCATGACACTGCAAATGCCCCTTAAATCCTACTTTAGAAGATGTGCAATAGTTAATGTATTCAATGGAAGGCCTCGAAATGATCCTTATTCAAATACCTATAACCTGGGGTGGAGACAACACCCAAACTTCTCTTGGAGCAATTGACAGAATAAAAATGGGACCTTTCAATTTCTCAAAGCCGTACTAGCAACCTTACCAAGCTCCTCCCACACAATAAGAAGATTATATATTAAGGAAGTGCTATCTCAACTCTTGAAGAAATCAGAAAGATATGAATAAGAGGTTGCATCACTTAAACAGAGTCAATTGATGTTGGAAAAGAGTCAATGAAAATAGCTAGTACTCTAAACATATTAGAGACAGCACAAGGTTAATTTCCAAGCCAAACAGAAGCTAATCCTAGAAATCATGATCAAGTTCAAGTTGTTACCACTTTGAGAAGTGGAAAAGTCATTGATAATAAGATTGAAAATCCAAAGATCACTCATAAAGAAGAAGATGAGGTCATGACAGAAACAAGGCAATTGTTTGATAAGCAGTCTGAAGACTCCTTGGAGTCTGATAGTCATACCGAGCGTGCGAACCATACTCTTCCTACTTAAAACGCAAACACTCACGGTCCTCTACCCTTCCCTCAACATGAGAGAGAAGTTCGAAAAGACAATTATAAAGGAAATATTATGGAGCAATTTAATAAGGTATAAATTAATATCCCTTTGCTTGAGGCTATCAAACAAATATCGTCATATGCAAAGTTTTTAAAGGATTGCACAAAAAAATGAGGTTTGAAGAGCATGAAAAAGTGATGTTATCTAACAATGTGAGTGTTGTACTTCAAAGAAAGTTGCCACCCAAGCTTTAGGATCCGGATGAGCTTTATAATCCTATGTATCATTGGAGAAAGAAAGTTCAATAAAGCTTTGCTTGATTTAGGAGCAAGTGTGAACTTAATGCCTTATTCAATATATGAACACATTGGGCTAGGGGAATTGAAGCATATCTCTATCTCTTTGTAATTCGAGGATAGCTCTATGAAGTACTTAAGATGGATTGTTGAAGATGTACTTATTCACGTTGATCAATTTATCCTCCCTGCTGACTTTGTCATCTTGGATATGGAAGAAGTTGATATTGCAGGTCGTGAACTCCCTCTCATCAATGGCAGACCCTTCATGGCTATAACAGGTATGAAAATTGATGTTAAATTAGGTTTACTAACCATGACTGTGCAACATATTACTGTCAACTTTCAGGTTTTTGAAGCTTTGAAGAGACCCCTAGACCTATAAGATTGTTTTCATGTTGAAGTTATGGATCGCATTATAGAGAAAACATTCATTGAATCAAGCCTAAGAGAGACTTGCGGGCCATAGTCATTGTTGAAGAAAAAATGTGAACCTCCCAACATAATTTCACCACCACTATTTAAACAATGGGGTTTAATTACTTTAGGCTCAACCCATTCGAGATGCGGTGTCTCTTAATTACAATTTCTTGCTTCAAGGGAACATCTTTTGATTCCATCATAAAGAAACAGAACGTGTGTGTTTGGTTTTGCGACTGCTTCTAAGTCTAACCTCAGTGTGCTTATGTATCTCTTGCGGTAATTAAACCACTCGTAGTTCAAAGAATTGCAATGAATAAATGACTCATTGCAAGGAAAATTTCATTTGAATTTTATTGAGGAGTGTTTGAGTGAATTTAGCTTAATAAACTAGGGATTTAATATGGAATTGTGTTTGGGGAGAATTTGGTTAAGAATAAACCAGGGATTCTGTTTGGATTTAAGATTTGGGCGGTTGCATCTAGATTGAGTCTCTAGATTACCTACATACACTTTTGAATGGATCAAACCAACGTAGTTCGGAAGATTTAACTACTACAAAAATTGAAATAGACGACAGGAAAACACCGTCGTCTTTTTTTTTCAAACCGTCGTTAAATTGACCGTCATCTTTTTGAATGTCAAACTACGACGGTAATTAACTGTCGTCTATTATATGTAAAAACGACGGTTTTTAAAATAACCGTCGTCTATTACATACAATAGACGGCGGTTTTTAAAAGAACCGTCGTCTATTACATAAAATAGACGACGGTATTTTGTTAAAAAGCGTCATTGATTGTATATAAAGGTGACGGTATTGTGTTAAAATGGTCATTGATTATTTGTACAAACGATGGTTTTTCCAATAAAACCATCGTTTTATTTTCTTTAAATATGTCGTCTAATAAGTTCCCAAGCTGTTACATTCTAGTTTTTTGTTTCCAATGATTCTATACAACGATTTTAACTAGAAAACCAATTATAACACTTTATTAATGAATATATATACTCAAAAATTATTTCTTACATAAAACTTGAAGATTCAATTTTATTACATAGAATTAGAAACAATGGAACTACATGTGATTACTCACAAATTCTATCACATCCATAGATGATACATGAATTGCATGGTTCCTAATATTAACCTTTTCTCTTTCCTTTCTTATTCTGTACTCAACATATAGCAAAGCCTTTCTTCCTCCCTTCAATTGCTATAGTCCAATGCCCCTTCTCCTGTATCTTCCCCAAAATCTCATTCTTTGTTCGGCAACTTTTTCCCTCTCTTTCAATGCCTTCCCTGCTCCATAAAAAAAAAAAGCACCCAATAACAAAAATACTTAAAGTGAATAAAATGAAAATACCTCGTGAAAAAAATTAATCAAATAACTTGTTAATTTGTTGTCAAGATCCTACAGGAAAACAAGATTAGGATCAATACATAGCACATCTTTGTAATTAGAAATTATTTGAGCAATGAACAAACAGGATTCAAATCTCTCTTACTTCCTCCCAAAAGACCAAGAAATGAATTGAATGTAATGAAGAAATTTGAATGCTATGAGAACTCAATTTTCTGGGACTCAAATGAACTGAAATGAACTTTGTGCAGAAAACAGAGATTCAGTGACATACTTATATTAGAACACAAAGTTCAATACATTCCAGACTTATAATACAACAAATAGCATAGGCTTTCAATAGAAAATCCTAAAGCTTAGAGCCATTACCTTTTTTTTTTGCAATTCCTGGAGAGACTTATTTCATCAAGTAAAAGAAATACTCTGACTCAACTTATAGTTCAAAAGAGCTGCACATAAAAAACAATTAGGGGAAAAAGAAAGTCAGCCAAATTCAGGGACATAGACATAAAAAAATTTCAAGTTTCATGTGTTTATTTTCTAGAGTTAAAAGACAAAATAAAATGCAGGAATGACATTGAGAGTGAAAAAAAAAACCAACTCTTAGAAAACACTCCGAGTCCACAAATCTCCATCATCACCATGTCATTGTTGTTATACATATGCAGATAAATACACAAACACAATTACACAAATTGCTCTTTGCTTCGCATCTCATCTCCAAACCAACCCCACGCACAAGCAACAATGAAAGATTTAAAACAAAGTCCATTTATATTTCAAACATCACAGTCAGAAAACACTATAACTACTACAAGTCCCAAATATTTTAAGGGAAGAGAATAATCACATAGTATTTTATTGTTGTATTTGTCTTCTTCCAGTCCCAAATGTTGTGCACCAATGCTATATTCATTATTAAAAAAATAAATATTAAGGGGGAAGAAAACTCTACTTCAGGGGTCATCTAAGAATTGAAAGTTTCAAAATCTTCCATTACCCACACCCACCTATACTTGCGTTCTTTTATTTGTTTTAAGCAGGCCTGCACATAGTATCAGAAAATTATAGATCACACATGGGCTAGAGATCAGAAACCACAACTAAAAACAAAGTTTCAAGAAACCAAATACTTAAATCTGAAATGTATAACGATGACAATCAAAGTACCTACACTCATAGACATGAGCTACATGAGTAAGCGCTGTGAATAACACAAGACAAAATTTACAGTCCTGTTCTTATTCATTTGTTTTGACTGCCTTTCCCAAATTCAGAGTTCCTCTCTCGATTCCCAAACACCTATTTACAGCAAATGTCAAACCAAAGAAAATTTGTGTATATAATCTCAAAACTAAGGAATAGAACAACATTGCTGAAATAAAAACCCAAAAATAAAATCCCCGAAGCCCCAAAATCCACAGAAACAGAAAAACACATAGAAGTAATGAATTTAATTTTCAACCAACCTGTTCCCAAGTCGCTTCAAAAAAATCCAAGCCAATGTGAAACTTTATTGCACAGCAAAACTAGGTCATTAATAGGAAAATAAACGAAAACTTCAAAAATTCGTAAATCAACATAAATCTAAGACCCAGAAGTGAAATCGGAATTTAAAAAAAACAAATGAAATTGCATAAATGGCATGAGCCGTGTTCTTGTAAGTTGGAAGATTGGAGACTTGACCATCGTGGAATTGAAATCTTGTACTTACGTCCAGAGGATGCATCGCGGTGTTGGTGGCAAACCCAGCGACGGCGCCGACGATGGCGGTCTCCCACTGCCACTACGACGCTGACGACATTTGAATTGCACGGCAGATTGAAAAGCTTGATCTTCGGACTACAGCGGCAGCCGCCAGGTCTGAAACAACCACTGTTACCTTGTGCTGTGATTTTTCTCTGCAGTCGCTCATATAACGCCGTCGTTTCAGGATTTCAAATCGAAACCACTAGGTCTTGTACCAGTAACGAACGACTACCGAGGGAAGAGAGATGTGACGAGGAAGTTGGGTTATCGATTTCGACGGAGGAGTCTCTCTTGGAGGTCTGGTCGAGGGCAAGAGTTGAGGGAGGGAGAGAGATGAGGAAAATTAGGAAGATTTGAGAGTTGAAAGGGCACCATGAGAGTTCAGGAGTGAATGTTTTCGAGCTAGCGTGTTTCGACAAAAGAAAAAAGAGCTAGCGTGTTTTAAAAGATGATGTTTGTAATTTACAAGTGTCGTGTTTTAAAACCCAAATTGATTTTAGTGGTGTATAAGAGCACTTTCAGCAGTTGGAATCTTGCCATGGCAAGGGGGGCTAGGGCTGACACTATTCACGGAATAGTGTCTGCCCTTGCAAAAAGTAAATTGCACTTTCAGCAGTTGCCATGGCAAGTGGGGGTACTATTCAATTTTTTTGTTTTTTTTCACAAATTTGTTTACCTAAACAATTAATTTGGACAATATTTTCGGATGAGATTTTTTGATAAAATATTCGGATAAGATTTTCATATAAGATTTCCGGTTTCAAATTTCAGATAAATTTCATTTGAATTTCAATTTCAGATAAATTTCATCTGAATTTCAATTTCAGATAAATTTCATCCGAGTTTCAAATTTCGGATAAGATTTTCACCCTATAAAATTGCACCACGTGTTATCTGAATTTCAAATTTCAGATAAATTTCATTGGAATTTCAACTTTTCATTTGAATTTCACATTTCAGATGCATTTCATTTGAATTTCAAATTTCGGATAAGATTTTCATCCTATCAACTTGCGCCACGTGTCATGTCTATCGACCTAAATTTTTATATAAAACAAAGGCTCAGCTCACAAACCTCTCACACTACATCTTCTCAAAAATTTCAGTTCTCGTATTTTAGATTTCATATTTCATCTTCCATTCACAATGTCAGACATAGAGGAGGTGTTGGAGAGGCAAGAGCGAGAAATAAGAGAAAGAAGGCGTAGACGAGCAGCAAGCAAAAGAGCACAGAGAGATCTAGATCAGCAACTTGTCATGGCTGTGGCCATGCTTGATGAAGAAAACCAGAGTAGTCGTGGTTCACATGAAGGCCGTGCCCCAAATGTTGACAGACATAGGCATTCTCGGGGTAAGAATCTTATGGAAGATTATTTTATTCCAACATCTCTGTACTCTGATGTTCATTTTCGAGGGAGGTATAGAATGCAACAACATTTGTTCAATAAAATCATGCATGATATTTGCAATTATGATGAATACTTTGTTCAAAAGAGAAATTGTGCTGGTGTTTTGGGACTGCTTCCCGAACAAAAGTTCACAGCTGTTATACGAATGTTGGCGTATGGTGCATCTGCTGATCAGGTGGATGAGATTGCCCGGATGGGGAAGTCCACTGCCTTGGAGAGTTTGGTTAGATTTTGTGATGCAGTCGAAACTCTGTACACCAGGGACTACCTGCGCCGACCCACGCCCAGGGACCTGCAACGACTTCTGCAGAAAGCCGAACGGAGAGGATTTCCAGGAATGATTGGTAGCATCGACTGCATGCGCTGGCAATGGAAGAATTGCCCAACTGCTTGGCAGGGTGAGTACGGAAATCGGAAAGGCCAAAAAAGCATCATCCTTGAAGCCGTTGCAGGTTTCGATACATGGGTCTGGCACGCCTTTTTCGGAGTTGCTGGATCTCAAAATGACTTGAACGTCCTGGGTCAATCCCCGGTGTTCAATGATGTTTTGAGAGGAGAAGCCCCCAAAAATCACATATGAAGTCAATAATACCATATACCAAACTGGGTATTATCTAACTGACGGGATCTACCCGAGGTGGACAACATTCGTGAAATCACTTTCGCATCCCCGAACCCAGAAGCAAAAATTATTTGCTACATATCAAGAGGGTTACAGAAAGGATGTGGAGAGGTGCTTTGGTATCCTCCAAGCTCGGTGGGCGATCATTAGGGGTGCAGCACGTATGTTTGATGAGGAGGTGTTGAGGAGCATCATGATGACATGCATCATCCTTCATAACATGATTGTGGAGGATGAGTATGATTACGAAGCTGAAGAGGTGTACAAACCAGATCCCATGAACACAGCCTTGACCCGAATTTATGAAAAACCAATAGGGCCAAATGGAGAACCAGTGGAGCATGAACCGTTGGTTAGAGATGGTCTTTTCATGAACCGTATGATTGATCGATATACGGAGATGCAATCTTCATATATTCATGAACACCATCAAGTTGACTTAATGGAGCATTTATGGGCGATGAAAGGCAATGACGGTGAATGAAGTGAAGTGAAGAACATTTTTAAGATTTTAATGTTTATGTTTTATGTTTGGTTTTTTTATGCTTTGGTTGTGGTTTGTTTGTTTTTATATATTTAATGCTTTGGTTGTGGTTAGTTTTTTTTATGTATGGAATGTTTTGAATAAAAAGGAATTTTATTTAATAGTTTCTTTGATAGAGAAAAATTAAACTTGAAAGTGAAAAAAATTTAGAGTTGAAAGTGAAAAATTATTGAGTAGAAAGTGAATAATTAAACTTGAAAGTGAAAAAAATTTAGAGTTGAAAGTGAAAAAATTATTGAGTAGAAAGTGAATAATTAAACTTGAAAGTGAAAAAAATTTAGAGTTGAAAGTGAAAAAATATTGAGTAGAAAGTGAATAATTAAACTTGAAAGTGAAAAAATTATTGAGTAGAAAGTGAATTTGTTGTTAAAAGTGAAGAGTATGGATTGGTATTTATAGAAAAAAATTCAGTATTTTTTGGGGTTTTTTAAAAATTTTTTACGATTTTTTTTCATAATTTTTTGCCTTGAAAAATTCCAGGCCGTTGGATTGGATGAAAATTCGAAAATTTGAAGGACCAGATCGCGCCATGTGGCAGCAGAAAGAAAAAAAAATTGCGCCTGCTGACGTCACGCTGACATCAGCCTGCTGCTCGGGCAGCCCCTGCCTTCGGGCCAGCCCAGGCAAGTGGACCCCACATTGCCTGAGCCAGCACTTGTTGCTGGAATGGCGTTTTGGGCTCTCCCCCCCCCCACCCCGCAGCCCGAGTGGGCTGCTGGAACTGCTCTAAGATGGTATACTATGATAGTTTTGTAAAACTGTCGTCTTTTAAAATACAATGACGGTTTTAAGCTTCACCGTCGTCTATTTAGTGTCGTGGTTTTACAATTTTGTAGTAGTTTGAAATTAATAGGTAAGTGTGGCCCATTAATTTAAGAATTTGTGTCTTTGAGACAATTTAGAGATTTTGAAATTTTCATAGGTAGATGACCCATGGAAGAAATTGGATGGTTTTGTACCATTTTCTTATTGTCAATGTCCAAGAAATATAATGAGCAATTTTGATGAACCACCACTAACTACCACAAAAAAAAAAAAAAAAAAAAAAAAAAAAAAAAAAAAAAAAAAAAAAAAAAAAAAAAAAAAAAAAAAAAAAAAAAAAAAAAAAAAAAAAAAAAAAAAAAAAAAAAAAAAAAAAAAAAAAAAAAAAAAAAAAAAAAAAAAAAAAAAAAAAAAAAAAAAAAAAAAAAAAAAAAAAAAAAAAAAAAAAAAAAAAAAAAAAAAAAAAAAAAAAAAAAAAAAAAAAAAAAAAAAAAAAAAAAAAAAAAAAAAAAAAAAAAAAAAAAAAAAAAAAAAAAAAAAAAAAAAAAAAAAAAAAAAAAAAAAAAAAAAAAAAAAAAAAAAAAAAAAAAAAAAAAAAAAAAAAAAAAAAAAAAAAAAAAAAAAAAAAAAAAAAAAAAAAAAAAAAAAAAAAAATGGTCGTGGAATCCACCGACATCTTTTCCATAACCAAACCACGACGGTGAATAACCGTCGTTGTTAAAACAAAAAACGTCATCAAAAAATAAAAACCGACGTCTTTGTGCTGCAAAAAGACATAAAAAAACAGTCGAGGATGAGAATAGACGACCAACTCCAAACAAAAAAAACGTCGTTAAAAAGGAAACAGATGACATATATTAACAGAACATGGCCGCAAGATAAACATACAACGACGAGAACTAAAACTTAACGCCGTTAAATAAATATTTAACGACAAATATAAATATGACGTCTTTACAATCATAATAGACGACGTTATTGACACCTACTACGTCACAACATTTCCCACAACCGTCGTAAAATAAATTTTCCACTTCGATTTTTCTATGAATTATGACGTGGAAATAGATGTCAGGGTCATTACTTACGACGCATGTATTTACAGAGACGACGTTGAAATGATAAATAACGTCGGTTCCAAATAAATGAGAGCCGTATTACAGAATTTATACGTCATATTTTGAAAATAAACGACGTGGAAAAAATGATGGGGTCATTAATTACGACACAGTAATTTATAAGGACGACGTTGTCGTCTATATACAACGTCGTTACCATGAAAAAGACCGTCGTGTTTAATAATTTATACGTCTTCATTAAAAAAATTAACGTCGTCTAATTCATAAATCTTAACGTCGACAAATTTAATGGACTTCAAATACCGTCGTGAATTCATCCTTTTCCACTTCGTTTATGAAAGAACATGCGACGTGGTAAATTCATGACGACGTCGTCTTTTGTAACGTTCAGGTTAAAGTTCTCGTCTTTTAGACGTCGGTATTATGGGATTGGAGTCGTGTTATTTTGAATTACATGGCGGTTCTTTATGCTTGTCCGACGTGTTATCCTGGATAACTGTTTCACAATAGCGTCGTGGTTCTTCATTGTTACGTTTGCTTTAAGACGTCGGTAAATATATTGCGGTCGTTGAATGCTCCAAAACGTCGTTATTTATTAGAACAGACGTTTGTTTTTCACATTTTTATCAAAACCGTCGTGTTTGTAATCTGGAACCAGTAATTTTTGTACTGATTGTTTTGTGGCCAAAACCTGTATAATGAAAGTGAAGAAATCACATTACAATATATTACAAAATTAATGTCATACACTGCCAATTACATAAAGCATCATTCAACCCATATATCTTCACACCCATCTCGAATATTTTGACTCCCTAACTCAACCACCACTTCATCAAATGTGTCAACATTTGGCATCCCCTCTAGTAAATGGCTCACACTCAATTCTCACATCACCTAAGACATCATCACCAATAACATCATTATATTCTCTATTAGGCATTGATAACACTACCGACCAACCACGATGCATCGGGTCGTCAACAAAAAATACTTGTTTGACTTGAGAAGCCAAAACAAATTGGTCATTCCTATGTCCAATTTTACTCAAATCTACAAGGGTAAATCCAAGTTCGTCCACTACAAGACCAGAAGTATTATCAATCCAATCACACCTAAAGACTGGGATTGTAAACTTTTGGTAGTCAAGGTCCCAAATTTCTTGAATGACACCATAGAAACCCATATTTGAGAGAATTGGGTTTTTATCCTTGGCACTAGCAACTTGCATAGTATGTGCAAGTAAATAAACTCCACTATTTTGAGTTGTCCGCACATCATCTTGTGCCTTGATGTTGAATTTAATACCTTTAATGAGATAGCTCCTATATAATGGCACTGCCATGTTTGGACCAGCTGCTAGCCACCTTAAATTTTCTGATACGCCATGATTGTCTTCCTCATTAAGTTCACTTTGAACCTGCAAATTAATCATAACTTAATTCAATCTAACATAGAAAGAAGAAGAATTAAAAGTCCCAATTGTTATTCAATAACATATACCTTGAAGCGTAGCCATTGAATGAAAGTGCTATTGTGCTTATCCTGCAGGCCCTTTTGGTTCCTCTTTCTAAATTTTGGATAAGCGGTTGGAATGTGGATCATAGTTGCCTACATGACACACAAAATTCAAGTATACGGTCCCAAACATATAAGATAAACATAAAAATAATTTAAAATGGAAACTTAAAGAATAAAACTATACGTACTCGATATAAGGTAGGAACTTCCTCTATTCTCCAAGACATATAGATGTGCTTGGTTCAACGGTCCCGACAACTACGCTCACTGTTGAAACCTGGATTAAGGCTTTGAAACTCCTCATCTTTTTGGCTTGAAGGGCACTCCAACTTGTACTAACCATCAGAAAATGCCTCAGTTAACAAAACTCTACAGCTTCTTCAGCTATATACCGCTCAGCCAATGCAACCTTCGGGGACGACGTCGGATTCTAAACATACATAACCTTTAGCACTTTCATATATCTTTCAAACGGATACATCCATCTAAAATATACTGGCCCACACAGACGAACTTCTCTGACAAGATGTACTACTAGATGAACCATGATATCAAAGAATGAAGGGGGAAAGTACTTCTCAAGCAAACACAAAGTAACTACTACATCTTCTTCAACTTATCTAGCTTGGAAACATCAACAGTCTTTGCACATATAGCATTGAAGAAGAAGCAACAAAAGAGTTATTGATACCTTGAGGCTTCTCCAAAACAGAACGAATTGCCACAGGGAGCAATTGTTGCATTAAGGTATGACAATCATGTGATTTAAGGCCAAGAAGTCTTGAATCTTGTAAAGATACAAGATTTTTTATATTTGAAGAAAACCTTCAGGGGACCTTCATACCATAGAAAGAATTGCAAACCTCTCTCTTCTCTGCTCTTGACAAATTCCAAGGCCCGGGAGGCAAACGAGTACGTCTTTCTCCATACTCGGGTTGCAAATCAGTTTTGACCCCCATGTTCAATAAATCTAATCGAGCAGCAATCCCATCTTTATTTTTTCCAGGGATCTCCAGCAATGTACCAATGATACTATCGCAAACATTCTTCTCAATGTGCATAACATCTAGGACATGCCTCACAGGAAGGTATTTCCAATACTCGAGATCAAAGAATATTGATTTCTTCTTCCAACAAACTCTGTCACCATCTTCAACCATATGCAGCACTTCTTCTCCGGTTAATGGCTCAGGAGGCGTGCCATATTCAGGTTTCCCATTAAAAGCTGCACGTTGCCTCCTATATGGATGATTGATTGGTAACCATTTTCTATGCCCAATGTAACAAATTTTGTGGCCATTTTTCAACCTGTGACTAGGTGTATCATCGCCGCATATTGGACAAGCTTTATATCCTTTAACAACACAACCAGATAAGTTTCCATAGGCGGGGAAATCATTAATTGTCCACATTAATGCAGCTCTGAGTGTAAAGTATTCTCCATTATGTGCATCATACACTCCTCCAATCCCATCCCACAAAGATTTTAAATCATCAATCAAAGGCTCCAAGTAGACGTCTATATCATTTCCGGGCTGTTTAGGACCGGAAATCAATAAGGTCAACATCATGAACTTTCGTTTCATGCACAGCCATGGAGGGAGATTATATGTAACTAAGATAACTGGCCAGCAACTATATCTGCTACTTAGAGAACTGTGGGGATTGAATCCATCAGATGAAAGAGCCAATCTCAAGTTTCTCGGCTCATTACCAAACTCGGGCCATTTATCATCAAGAAGTTTCCAAGACGGGGAATCCGCTGGATGAGACATATAACCGTCAATTGATTTTCTAGCAGCATGCCAAGTCAAACTCTTAGCGGTCTCATGTGATCGAAACATCCTTTTAAACCTTGGAATTGGAGGAAAATACCACACCACCTTCGCTGGCACACCCTCTTTCAAGATTGAATCTTTGCCTTCCTTCCACCTTGAGATACCACAATTAGGACAATGAGTTAAATCCTCATACTCCTTCCTATACAAGATGCAATCATTGGGGCATGCGTGCATTTTCTCATAACTCAGCCCCAATGCACACAAAGTCTTTTTTGCCTCATACATAGAGGCCGGTATTGTATTTCCTTCTGGAAGCAAATCGCCTTGAAGTATCAATAATTCTGTAAAACAGACATCACTCATCCCATGTTTTGCCTTCAAATTATACAACTTCACTAATGCCGATAACTTCGTGTACTTTCTACAACCAGGGTACAATGGTTGATCTCCATCCCCAATCACATTGGCAAACTCATAAGGATCAGATCCAAAATCACCAAAATCATTATCATCCATCTCTATTTCTTCAGACACAAAACTGTACCTACTATGGTCATCATCTTCTTCAACATTTCTACTAGCATTAGTAGTTGCTTCCCAAGGTTCTCCGTGAAATGTCCAATTCTTATAGCTTTGGTCAACTCCATTAAAGTATAAGTGATCCCTTATAATTCCAACCCCAAACAATTTCAAATTAACACATTTAACACATGGACAACGGATATGTGTTGTAGTTAGAAGATTTTCTACAGAAAAGTTCAAAAATGCTTCCACCCCTAACTCATATGCCTTCGATCTTCTATCCGAGTGCATCCATGACTTATCCATCTCCGACACTATACCCTATTATATATAATAAAGTGAAAAGACAAGCAATGACCATCACTATAGCAGATTATATAAAGTCTAATAGCAAGTAATATACAACAGAGACGACGGTTTTTAAACAAAAACAGACGTATTTGACATATATAGACGACGGATTTTTCGTCGTCTAATTATAACCACGACGGTAGTTAAATAACACCGTCGTGTATAAGTAATAAAAACGACGGTTTAAAGTAAAAACCGTCGTCGTATGCCTGAAAACGCGTCGATATCCAGTTTATTTTCAAGATCCCAAAACCCTATTAAGAACACAACATAGACATGAAACAAGCAGAAACCAACATGAAACCAACATATACTAAGCATGAAAACAATAAATCCATTCCCAATTCAACATAACAGAGAGTGATTAAAAGATCCGACAAAATTAAATCCATTCCCTATTCAACATAACAGAGAGTGATCATGAAAACATTAAACAGAAAATCCATGAACCCATACCTCCAACAACATTATTAAAAGATTGCACAACATATATCTAAAACCCTTTAACAAAACAACCTAATATCATTCAATGAATTTACAAGGGGAAAATAAGGGTTTGTACTTACAGGTTGGCAGAGCTAACAGATTATGGCCTACTTGGATTCGACGGAGCCTGGAGAGCCCAACTTTGAATTAGAGATTAAGTGAGAGAGCGAAATGTTATGTTGCACGAAATCTGAAAATTTTAGGGTTCAGGGTTACAAGTATAAGACTTAGAGCGAAATCTGAAAATTTTAGGTCGCGCGAAATTTTTTTGGAAAGCGCGCTCTTTAAAACATCGACGAAAAAAACAACTGTCGTTAAAATTTCACTTTAAACATGACGCTTATTACATTAAAGACGTCGTGGTAAAACTATGTACGAAGCAAAATCAAACAGAAGTCGTCAAAACTAAGAGAAACCATGGCGAAAGTTTTACCAAAACCGACGTAAATGCATTATTCCACGACTCAAACACTGAACTTAACGTCGTTTATTTTAAAGAAACCACGTCGTCTGTTGAATCAATAACATCGTTTGAATAACCATTTACGTTTTTTTTAAATCGATGACGTTGTTATTCATGTACAACGTTATTTTAAAGGAACATAAACACCGTCGTCAAAAAAATAAACATCGACTGGAAACACAAATACCATCGTTAAAAAATAATACCCTAAACCCTAAACCGTAAATTAAATATTACTAAAATATAATTTTATAAAAGGGTTTATGGTTTTATAGCCTAATATATAACAAACATAAACCGTAAACCCCAAAAATTATCTTCTAATCCTAAACCCTAATAAATAACAACCCTAAACCCTAAACCCTAAACCATCAAATTATAAGTGATGTTATGACTCATCAAAACAATTTATTTTTGGGTGGTCATTTTAAATTTGTATTACTCAAACTGAATTTTTTAAGGTTTAGGGGGAAGAAATATATCAATGACTTCATAGGAGTTGACGTTTCTTTTTTGGATTTATTTTAAATTTATTTTGAATATTTTGAATTGAAAATAATACAATATTCTTATATCAACAACAAACCACATCGGGGTTAAGAAATTAAAGACGTTGTAAATCATAATAAACGACTCACTTGTAAAAAGGACGTTGTTTAAAAGAGAAACCATGTCGGATGTTTCACCATCCGACGTAAACTCAATATTCCACGACTCAATCACCGTCGTTAAAAAGTAATACCCTAAACCCTAAATTATATATTTTTAAAATATAATTTTATAAAAGGTTTATGGTTTTACAGCCTAATATATAACAAACATAAACCGTAAACCCCAAAAATTATCCTTTAATCCTAAACCCTAATAAATAACAACCCTAAACCCTAAACCATCAAACTATAAGTGATGTTATGACTCATCAAAACAATTTATTTTTGGGTGGTCATTTTAAATTTGTATTACTCAAACTGAATTTTTTTAAGGTTTAGGGGGAAGAAAATATATCAATGACTTCATAGGAGTTGACGTTACATTTTTTTTGATCTATTTTAAATTTATTTTGAATATTTTGAATGAAATAGAATAAAATATTCCTACAAACACAACAAACCACGTCCACTTTAAGAAAGTAACGACGTTGTAAATATAATAAACACTTACTTGTTGAAAGGACGTCGTTTAAAAGCGAAACCATGGCGAAATTTTTACTAAAACGACATCCCATTGACGTACAAACGGTATATCACGACTTAAACAAAAAAGGTGTCGCCGTGTAATTTAATTACCACATCATCTCTGTCGTCTAAATATCCTTTTACGTCGGATTTGTTTCAAACGATGACGTTGTTTCCACCACCAGAAGACACGGTTTTTGACATAATTATGTCGTTGCAAAGATATTACACGTCGGTTACGCAATTTGTTTTGTTTTTTTTAAATTAAGAAAACCTCAACAAATTTTCAGGGAAAAAAAGGATATATATTATAGATAAATTTGTACATTATATATTATAGACAAAATTTGTACATTATATAAAAATATCAAGTGTTCTAAAAATCCTCTAGTCCACATGAAGGCAAACAAACTCTGCCCATTCATTCCTGACTTCATCAATGGCTACTTGGGGGTATGGCGCTTGCCCTTTTCCCTTGGAAAATTGCAATCCATAAACAATGATTATTAAGCTTTATAAATAAAAAGAAATTCAATCATAGACGACGCTATTTTCATAACCGACGTAGTATATCGATGCAACGACGGTAATTTTAAAGGACCGTCGTTGATAATACAAAAAACCACATAAAATGTATCTGAAAATTTTCTTCTTACTGTCTTCTCAAACTCCAGGAAGGATCCATGATGATGTCTCTCATGAAGCGCATGACATAATACCCGCGCATTCGACACTGCTGGGTTGCTTTGGTGTGCCTGGCAGAGTTTTCCAAATGGGTGCTTTACGGCCTTGTCTGCCTATGTGGGAATTATAAATTTTTATAGCACTGTTCACCATGTTTTTGGCCTCCTCATTAACCACACGATTTCCGGGCAGAGGATCCAAAAAATACACGGTTTCCTTCTTTGCTCTCACAATCAGCAAGATCCAATGACGGCTGCACAAAATTAATATAAAACAAAGATATATAAAAAAGTCAGCATAAGAAAACACACGACGGTTATTTATAAAAACGACGTATTATATAGTTTCACATGACTAAATAACGTAGCAATTGACGTCATTATAAATTTATCACGACGGTAATTAACTAACGACGTGGTTAGATGTTTCAAACGGCACAAATTTAGTTAAACAGTTTTATACGCAGTGCATCATACAAACAAAATCCTGTTAAGGAGACTAACCCTGGATTGTAAGGCATCATGAAAATCTGTTCACCATCTGTCTTCTGAAGTCGACTGGCTACCAATCGTGATCTGTTAGTTAGTGACCCAGCGTTGGCACTAACTTGAGCAGGGTCGATAAAGCCAACCATGTTGAACATATTTGCTTCTTTCAAAAAGATCATATAAGCACCTAAATATATAAAACAAAGATATATAAAAAAGTCAGCAAAAAAAACGCACGACGTATTATACAATTTCACACGACGCAATGAAATAGAAATCGACGTTATCATTAATTTATCACGACGGTACATAACTAACGACGTGGTTAGTAGTTTCAAACGACGCAATAAATAAACCACCGACGTCTTATGCTATAATGATTTTTTTTTTCAACACAAATTTGAGTGTGAAATAAATATTTGATAAGGACAAACCTCATATATACTGCAAGCACAGTAGCCCCAATTTCTTCCATGCCTGCTAACTGTGTAATATCTTCAGGCAAGACGAAGGTACTAGATCTGCACCAAACACCTCCTTCTCAATTGTAAAGGTCATGATCTTCTCCTGAGGCTTTAGTGTGGTTTCCACATAACGACAAAGGGATTGTAAGGAAGATGGCACCTCCACCTTTGAATAATCAACTACTTCAATACCCTGTTTAAAGAAATAAAGCAAAATAAAATGACGTGGTAATTCAATAAACACGACGGTTTAAAGAAAACAACGTCATCTGATAATAATTTAAACGACGGTAACAAAACACCGTCGTGTTGAATAATTTATTACGTCATAGGAAACAAATTCTGACGTCTAATTTGAAAACAAACGACGGTTTAAAGAAACTATCGACGTCTGAAATTTGAAAAACAAATAAAAAAGGCAAAGTTATGAGAATGTACCTTTTCATCATGCTTTTCTTTATCTTCTTTTTTTTTCTTTCTTCTCTTCATCTTGTTTTTCTTCTTTCTTCTCTTCATCTTTTTTTTTCTTCTTTCTTCTCTTCATCTTTTTTTCTTCTTTCTTCTCTTCATCTTGATTTTCTAAATCCCCAGATTTGTGTTTTAAGTAATAAAGAAATATATATATAAGACACATTGTACAGAAAGTAAAAAAATTAAATCAAAATGTCATGGTAAGGCATAACATAAGATGGTATGTAAAAATTATGGACGTCTTAAAATTATTAAACGATAGTAAATAATAAACGTTGTGGGGATTTATATATTACGTCGATAAGGACTAAAACCGTCGTCTAAATCACCACAAAAGTTTTCAAAAATAACGACGTCTAATGGCGTGTAAAACAAGTAAACTAAATACGACGTGGTATTGAAATCCCAACGACGGTTTATTAATAAAATCGTCGTGGTATGTATTTCAAACGACGGTTTGCTTCATAATAACGACGTCTAATAGCTTTTTAAAAAAACAGAGAATTCAAAGTTCAGATATGTTACCATTTCTTCCTGCTTTTCCCCATTTTTGGCAGTATCATCCTCAAAATGTAGGGATCTCACATCCCCAGAGCAGCTTGCTTTGTCAGACATTGGATTTTTGGGACTTTGCTCTAGACCTTGGTTTTGACAGGGGCTAGTTTTCGGTTTAAGCATGCTTGGATCAAAATTGGGGATGAGTTGGGAAAGCTGACTCAGTAAATGTTCCCTCTCAGCCTCTACCAATTGCTTGGTTCTAGCCTCCATCCTTAAAGTCTCTTCCCTTGATCTAGCTTCCATCTTCTTAGTCTCTTCTTGAAGGACAATTCTTACACTTTCCTTTAATTGATCGGCAAACTTTACCCTCTGTTGTCTAGGTAAATTGAAGTATTGCCTAGGGGAAATCCCAGCACCTACCCCTCTTACTCTCCCTGGATGCTCGAGACCCAAAGCCAAGGTCAACACATCATTACTGCTAGATACACTGAGACTACCTTCAGCGACTTGTTTTTGCAATTCATCTTAAAACAAAGATATAAAAAAGTCAGCACAAGAAAACACACGACGGTTATTTATAAACAAACGACGTATTATATAATTTCACACGACACAGTAACATAGAAATCGACGTTATAATATATTTATAACGACGTTACTTAAAGAACGACGTGGTTAGTTGTTTCAAACGACTCAATAAATAAACCACCGACGTCTTATGCTATAATTACAAAGATAGTAGCGATTCCAAATTCAGACCTGTAACGACGTTTTTTAAAACATATCGACGTAGTAATATCATTCACACGACGGTAAATATAACATAAGACGTAATAAGAATTATCAGGGCAATACAGAGTTTAATAAAAATTTAAAACAGAGTGAGTAGGCTTACAATAAATTTTGCTTTCTCTGCCACCTTTGGATCAGGGATGTTACCATCTTTGTCTTGTCTAGCTTTCTTCCATAAGGTAGATCGATCAATTTCTACCCTAGGCATGGTTTCCTCCAATTGATCCTCCAAACCAGCATATCCTTTTCGAGACAATTGATGATTGTACTCAAGTTTCTCCATAATCTTTGAATGTTGAGAATGCACAGACACAAATTCTTGGGATAACCTTGAAGCCACAAAGGCATCCCATTCTGCTTTCTCTATGAATTTATATAGTTCAGGGGGTTGGCTTAATTTCTCCTCTCCTTGATGTATGGAAGGATATAATGCCTCGCTAGTGTAGACTTGAAATCCTTCTATTTCTTGGCAGCAGAAGATAACACCAGGTTCTTGCCCCCTTGACCTACCACAAAAGCCATGTCAACGGCTTCCCAAATCTGCTCCTTTATATCCTTGGGGATTTCAGCCCATTTCTTGTCCACAAGTGGGACTCTGGAGCGTGCCAACACACCAATGTAAGACTGCATCTCAGTATGTGCAGGGCCACATCCTTTCCCCCTTTTATTGTACTCAACAACTGGCTTGATTTTCTGAAATTTTCTCTTCACAACACGAGGCATTGTGCTCATACCTCGACCTGACTTTGAATCCTCAGAAATTGTTGTCGTGCTGGTTGGTTCTGTCTCAGCAGATGAAACAAACTTCATCTTCTTCAAGGACTTGTCTTAAGGAGTTACCATTCCAAGCTCCTTACCTCCATTTTTTTTCGAGCCAGAGTCCTTACTTTGGTCTTGAGAAACCATGGTTATAGACAAATCAAACCTGCAAGTGAAAATATTTCAGGAAAAAATTAAGAACACAAACGACGGTTATTCATAAAACACGACGTATGATAATATTTTACACGACGCAATAACATAACATCAGACGTAATAAATGTTTAAAACGATGATACTTAAACAAAGACGAAACAATATAAAAGAAGACGTAATAAGAACTTATTACGGCGATATTTACACTCCGTCGTGATATTTAAATTCAAACGACGTTAATATTAATATAACGTCGTGGTATTAAAATTAACACGACGTGAATAATAAGATACCGTCGTCTATATAAGATTCCAAACCCTTCTTTCTTTGTCTGTGAATGTTTGATTGTAGGTTTGATTTCTCTGAACCATGGTTTTTGTTTTTCCTAATTTGATAAAATACAAAGACAAAGAAAGAAGGTTTTGGGATCTTATATAGACGACGGTATCTTAGTATAACGTCGTGGTATTAACATTCACACGACGTGAATAATAAGATACCGTCGTCTATATAAGATCCCAAACCCTACTTTCTTTTTCTTTGTATTTTATCAAATTAGGAAAAACAAAAACCATGGTTCAGAGAAATCAAACCTGCAATCAAACAAGCAAATAAAAAAATGACGGTCATTTTAAAAACAACTTAGATCAATTTTCAGACGACGCTAGGACGACTGACAAACCGTCGTGGTCTACATATTTAACCACGTAAATAAGAAGCTACCATCGTCTTATTTAGTTGGAGTAGTTGTGTTCAAAGTTGGAAACTTTCCCTCTTTGTCTGTATATTTTATCAAACTTGGAGAGAATTAAAATGATTTTGGCCAGAAAAAAGGTAAAAAGATTTTCAAAACAAAAACCGTATGAGCATGCAAAACAACAACAAAAATAGTGAGAAATGAAAGCTTACCTTTTGCGTGCAATGAAAGCTTCCTCTCAGAGTTTTCTGTTTAAGTTCAGAGAAGACGACGAAGACGATGAGATACACTGATAGTTCTCTGACAAGGAAAAAAGACGAAAAGTTTTCTCTCGAAGATTGAAATTTTTTATCGGGTTTGGAAACAGTGCATGTGTAAGTCAGGTAGACGAAAAGTTGAATATATACACAAACCGTTTCATAAAAATAAGACGGCGGTTTACAGAGAACGACGACGTATAAATAAAAAACTACGACGATAATTTGAACTTAGGACGTGGTAAATAAATACGACAGTAGTGTTGTAGGTACCGTTGTAGTAAACTCAAAATAAAAGTCGATAAATTAATATCTCGCGTCATGGTACAAGGATTTAACACGTCGTTTTTTTAATATACCGACGTGGATTTTTATAATATACGACGTATATTAAATAATAACCGACGTTTATTTTAAAATTAAACGGCGGTTTGTGTGTAATGACCGTCGTGGGTTTTAAAAATTTATTGTATAAATTTGTCGCTTTCTTTCAGTTTCAGTTTTCATTTAGGGTTCCAAGTTCTTCCTCTCTCACAGACACTCTCTCTCACCTCTCAAAGACAATAATTTGGATGTCTTTCTCAAAGAGAAATGGAGCTTACTCTCCAACAAATCTATGTCCACAAGAAGAAGCTTGTCATCTAGACTTCTCACTTCTGTGATCAGGCCTGATAGGAGACTTAGTGCTTCTGAATACTCCTTGCTTTCCATCAAAAGAGATGCAAGCCTGGCCTCCTATTAAAGTAAGATGGCGGTAGGTTTATAATTACCGACGTAGATTATTTTTGTTAATGTCGTTAAGTGTAATATAACCGACGTGGATTTTATTTTTAATTATAAATAGAGTTTTTTTTCCTGAGTTCTTTCAGTTTTAGTTTTCAATTACAGTGCGTTATAAATAGAGTTTTTTTTCTCGAGGAAATTTAAAATGACGGAAATTAATGTTCTAGAATTTGTAAAGTTTCTTGTTTGGGTGACTGATTTAAATCAAATACGAATATAAAAACAACGACGGTTTTTTGTTCTACCGTCGTCTTTTTTGTCGTAAGATGGCGGTAGGTTTATAATTTCCGACGTCTTTAATTTCTACGTCAGTTACTTAATTGATTCTGTCGTTGGTTTTTTGCTCTAAGACTAAGACGACGCAATATATTTGTTTTGCGACGTGGATTCGTTTTGTTAAACGTCGTTATCTGTAATATAACCGACGTGGATTTGATTTTTTAATTATAAATAGATTTTTTTTTCACGAGTTCTTTCAGTTTTAGTTTTCAATTAGGGTTTCAACTTCTTCTTGCCCTTTTCTCTGTCTCACCTCACCTCTTAGGAGGCAATTGTTTGGATGTTGGTGTGTGTGTATGTTTGTGTATCTGATTCACAAACATACACACATCACCAATTTTCAAAAAATTGTCTATCTGATTGCAAATTTGTGGCTGCCGTCGTGAAATTTTAGGAGGCAATTGTTTGGATGTTGATGTGTGTGTGCGTTTGTGTAGATACACAAACGCACACACATCATCAACTTCCAAAAAATTGTCTCTCTGATTGCAAATCTGAGGCTGTCGTCGTCAAATTTCAGAGGCAATTTTTTGGATGTTAATGTGTATGTGCGTTTGTGTATCTCAAAGACACAAATACACATACATAATTAACCTCTAAAATATTGTCTTTCTGGTAAGATTATGATGAGGAACAGAGTTCCATATGGTAAGATTTCGTAACCCTCGGGATCTCAGAAAAATGTGATTATGTCGGTGGTTTTCTATATAAATCGTTGTGGTTATTTCAATTCTTGTCATTAAGTTGATCTACCGACGTAGGATAACAAAATCCAAGAAATAAATTGTTAAAAAAATTCTTACTAAGATGACGGTTTAAATATAAGGTATGACGTATAAAGTGAATAAATACGACGTTAAATGAAAAACCCCAACGTGGTGAGAGTTAAAGATACCGTCGTAGAACTATAGGAGAAAGATGTCGATATATTTATCTTTGCTGTAGTTGTACATTAATTTAATACGGCGGTATTTTGTATTATACCGCCGTGGATTTATTTGTAATTATACGGCGCCTTATACGAAAACTTGGTCGTGTTAATTTCTAAGTAAAAACGGCGGCTTTTTTTGACATCGTCGTCTATACTTTCTACGTCAGTCTATTCATAACTTATGCCGTTCTTTGTTGGCTTAGATTTTAGTATGTGGAAATCCCATTTCAATCAGACGTCGGTTTTTTAATTAGGTGCGTCGTCTTTTATGAACAACCATTGGAATCTCCATTTTTTAGGTGTCTAAGGTGTTATTACACAGCGGTTTTATAGAACCGTCGTCTTTTAAAAAACGACGGTTTTCCCTTAGACCGTCGTTTTTTTCTAGTCGTCTTTGTCACTTTTTGTAGTAGTGCACTAATTTTCTACAATTGACATTTACATTGGGATCCAAATATGGCTTTGTGGATTTTAAAATTGATCCATTAAATAGTTTGGGCCTTTGTAATTTTAATGGGCAATGAGAACAACCCATCAAACATTTTGGGCTTTTGAGAATCAATGGGCTATTTTAGACAGCTCACTCGTCATTTAATCAGTTGGCCTGTGAGCAAGGACTGATCAGTGCCCTTCGTGAAACATCACCAATATGTGTGAGACTCATCTTCTAGCTGAATCAATCATACTCCAATTGGGACTTCATGAATTGGAAACGTGAAGGAATTGTAGCCTTTCAAACAAAGAGGGAGAGAGTTGATTAGATTGTCCAACGGTAGAGGTATAACCCATTTCTTCTTTGTATCTGCTACCGGATTAGACCCAATATTTAGCTTCAGTTTTTTTTTCCCTTCTTTTGCTGCACTTGGTGGTAGAGAATAACTTCCCATTTGTTCATTTGCAACTTATTCAGGTAGAGAGAAAAAGAAGCAACATGACAAAAGTAAAGACCCCTTTTGTTTTGTTTGCTAGCTGCCATGGGTCTCTAAACCCATTTTTTCAAGATATGCCTAGAATTTTTTCATCCACAGAGGTTATGAGTTTCTCACACATATGGATTTTTACATCCAAATAATTTCATCCACTCACCCCTGGATTTGCATCCAAATGATTTCGGGTTTCTCACCTATGGATTTTCATCCAAATGATTTTTGGGTTTCTCACCCATGGCTTCATGGCATACTATGCCTAACACAAAAAAGAAAATGGAGATGACAATATACTTGTAGCAAATTTTTCCTCTTCTTTGTACTGCTGTAATTTTACCAGCCGTCTTTTTCTTTTATCTCTCCCCTCCTTTCTTTCTTTTTCTATTGTAACCTTTTTATAAACCAACTGGATAAGCCTCCCCTGGGCAATCAACACTTTTGAATTTCAAATAAGCGTTGATAGGATTCAACCTCATTTTCAGGCCTATTATCTTTCATATCCACAATTTTGAAACACGACACATATCCCAAAATTTTGGGAACACATGCTGGCTTGCATTTATCATTTTTTTTAAAAAAAAAGGATATAATTTACTTTGCTTACGAATGGCAAAAATGCCTACAGGGGCGAGTCGCCATCAGGTCCCTGACCTTAACGGGGGAAGATTTCGGGGTTAAACTGGTATCGGGTATTGGGATCCCCGAACTTGAAAAATCCCTAACTGATATGGATAGGGGATGGTATTGGTTTCCCCATCCCCGAACCTGACCCAGAAATATATATGTTTATATTTAAATATATATATATATGTATATATAAATATATAATTATAATATTTATTTTTAACCCTAAGTTAACCTCCCTCTCTTAATTCTTTCTAATCTTCTCTAGAATTTCATATTGATGTGATTTTGAATAGTTGAGTTGAACTTTATAGTTAATTTGGATGTGTTGAATGATAATTTAATATGAAGCTTAATGTTAAAATGTATGACAAATATTTTTTTATGCAAAAAGAATG